TTGTTTCTCTCTCTAAAAATTTTAAGATAATTTTATCTCTCTCTCTAAAAAATTTAAGATATTTTCTATCTCTAAAACCTAAAATATGAAAAAGTTTCTCCCTCTAATTCGTGGGGAGTATTGTCGGAGCTAATTGTATTTGATAAAGTGTGTGGCTCCAATGTATGAAAATAAACGTCCGAATATACTGCTCCATTATATTTTATATCATAACATCTATATATTTGAAAATATTGGTGTAAGGATGAGGTTCTCATATTTTTTTTAACCTGTCTCAAACCTAGGTAAAGGAAACGGGTTCTGTTAAGCTGGTGAAGCATATAAAAAGACGTGCAATGTGTACAATTCACACAATAAACACATTTGTTTCATTGAGGACCCACCAGCCCAGACGAGAATAATTTTTATTGTCTTTTTTGGTGAATACTCAAAATCCGGTTCCCTCATGTCTAACAATGTGGAAGTGAAAACAATGAAACGGATGCATTTATGGTGTTATTTACACACATTGCAGGTGTTTTTATATGTTTTTCCTTCTGATTGGCCATTTGATGGGAATCAAAAAGTAACCTTAGGTTCATTTAGGTCAGGTGTCCATCATCTTCGCATAAGTAGATAACACATTTCAAATCAGCAAAGTTTTATGCCTTACCAACCACAAACCATTTTTTTTTTTATTGAAAATTTAATGTCCTAACCCTTTTTAGAACAATATTATCAAATACATAGATATTAGGATAGGGAAATAATGGTAAACAAACATTTAGAAAACCCTAAAGGATCCTGAGAATGGCAAAGTAGTACAACTGCAATGAAATAAAAATGCCCCTCAAAAAATAATTAATTTTTAAATATGCTATTTGTGATAAAATAGAGGGAGATTAAAAAGTTTTAATGCTATCTTTAATAGAGGAATCAAGAGAGACATAGTGCAAATGAAAAATAGTGAGAGATAGCTAGAGAAGATGGGATCAAAATACATAATTAAAAAATAAGTATTACTCAAGTATCCCCCAAAAAAAAAAAAGGAATTAACTATTATATATACTTAATCAATTTTTTTGT